CTTTTCTGAGGATTCTCATACATTCTCAACCAGGAACAGAAGTGAGGGTCCTGAAGTCTTCATGCAAACTCTCACAAGGCAGAACCCTGCCCCAATCTTCAGGTGGCTCCCTTCTGAGACCCTTGAGTTCAAACGTGGATCTCACTGGATTACGTTATTTAACTTGGACCAAAATTCCTCTTACATATATCATATCACCTAGTCTTTGATTCACTGTTACTCTATTACTGCCATGCTTTATTTAAGTTTTCAGAAGAGAAGTAGATTATCTCTATTAATGCTAATATATAAACACATCATTCATATTCTGTACGTATAGTTCAGGCAGAAAAAATAAGGTGTTTATCAAGTGAACAAATTATGTAGTTGGGCTTAGGATTTGACTAGTTTTATTTAAATGATGAACAAATATTTATGTGGTAGAGTTTTTTTGAGCAAAATATTTTAAAACATAAGTAAGAATTTTTATTGATTTAGAGGATATGGAATAATTTTGCTATTCAAAGATATTTATAGCAGAGTATATTATGGAATTTTGTATTTCAGGATAATTAATGTTAGTTATTTCATAAATTATGCATTCAATTCTTGTAACACAGCCACAATACATGCTAAACATATGAGAATATTTTTATTCAAATAATGACAATATGAGTTCTGGGTTAATGAATGTTGACCACTTCAGGGATTCTGCTTTTCAAAGATATTTATAGCAGAGTATATTATGAAATAACTTTGTATTTCAGGATAATTAATGTTAGTTATTTCATAAATTATGCATTCAATTCTTGTAACACAGCCACAATACATGCTAAACATATGAGAATATTTTTATTCAAATAATGACAATATGAGTTCTGGGTTAATGAATGTTGACCACTTCAGGGATTCTGCTTCACCCATAGCCACTTGACAATAGGAAAGAACCTATCACTTCATCAAACTTACAGACGTACTTTTGAAAACACAAGGTCTATCAAGTTTTGATGATTCATTTACATATATACAATTTATAGCCTTTTTGTATTTTTACATTAAACATTGCACTTATCTGCTCACTCATTGACCATGTAACAATTTTCCATTTTTTAAATGCTAAGTCCTACATGAATAAGTTAATGAAAATCACTAAGCCTAAAAGTTACATTTCAAACTAGAATATATTTTAGTGTGGAGCCACCTCCTTCATTTCTTCCAGCCCTGCTGAAAGCCTGTTCGGTTTCCATTTATTGTTTTAATTAACAGTAAGTCCTATAGGTATCAAACAAAAATGTAAAAACATAGATAAAAGAGAACTGTATCCAAAATTCATTTTTTTAATTTATAAGTTCTTCAGTTGTATTTACAAGTTTTTAAAGTCCTGTTTTAATATAGATTAACAGGGATGAAATTCTTCTTAATTGTGGTAGTTCATTTCCTCAGAAACTTCATTTCCAACTTCAGCGGGTTGAACCTGTATAATTATACTAGAGACTACATATTAAAGAAACCATACCTAATGTGAGGGCATCAATACTTAGATGTGTTTGTTCATTTGCTTCCATTTATCTATTTGTCATTCAACAAGTATGTATTAATGACCATGGATACAAAGATGAACTACCTCAGTTCTTTATAGAAATCAAGGGTGAAACAAGTGGGGCTACTGGGCTGAAAGAATATTAATACACTCAACTTTTGTTTTAAATCTTTTAATTTGACAATCAATAAATTATGGTTTGTACTATGTTTTGTTTTTCCTTCATATTTTCTTCCTGAAACAAATAAAGAAAAACTAGAATATTGACAGCAAAATATATTCTATGCCTTTCATGCTTAAAGATTTATTTAGACATGTTTTTTGAGCATGGAAATTTTCTAAAAGAAAACTAATTCAAATAGTTCTAATCGTACTTTGAGAATTTTTAATATACTGTTTAGATTAGTATTGTGTCTAAGTGACTTGATACCTTATCAGTGATGCTTAAAAGAAATAAACCTCTCATCTGGTGCTGATATAAAGGGGCTATTTCTTTCCCTGAGTCTTGCTTCAGTGAGTTACCATGGTCCAGTGTCTGATCCTCCCTTTTTTAGATCCAGTTATGTTAATTTTGTTCAGGAATTTCATCATGCTATCCAGTAGACAATGAATAAACCAGAATATTTAAATGTCCTTTCATTACAACCACAAAATGAGCAAAAACTTTGTAAATGAACACATTTCTTCCTATAGAAATATATGTTCAAAAGATAGATTATCACCTATCAGTCGATTGTTGAATATGAGATCAAACAAGAGTGACCTGTAAGATCTCACTTGCTATCTTTATTTATTACTGGCACCCAAGCTATCCATCTGCATTATAGACAGTACCACCAAGTGACCAGGATGCTAATAAACTGGCGCTGTGCTGTCATCCTTTGAAGTTCACTAAAGATGCACTTGATAAACACTTACCCTTTGACCTGAGGTCTGCAATCTGGATTCATCACCTCCCTTCTTTTTCCTACATACTTTCTCTAGATAGCCCACACTACTGTCTGCATTAAGGCTCATGAATCAGTCACATCCACCTGCCCTGCTTCTCAGAGATTGCATCAGCACCTGGAATGAACTTTTGAAGGCTCCCTACATTCTTCAGACACTTGTCTCCTGATAGTGTCTTATTTCTATCACTAGGATGTCATTCTGTTCAGTTGCTTCCAGGACTCACAAGTTCCTTTCTCAGAATGCAGTTTTGTCCCATACTCAAGTTTCTCAAGGTGTTCCTTGACGCTTCCATGGCACTGATGACAGCTAAGCTAGGGACTGCTCCACACACCTTACCTCACATCCTGGAAAAGCAGCTAGGACTCAAGTTATTTTTGCCCTTGCCGTGACATTTACAGATATTTGCACTGGAATCCATGTTGAACGTCAGCATGCGTCACTGATGAAACTGTGGCCCCAGATCCAAGGTCAAAATCCAAACTCTTCAATTTTGCCTACCACCAATTCATAGCCCAAATCTCACCACTAGTTTGTTGACCTTGCCATTGCTCATGTGACAAAGAAGCTGAATTATCACTATATCAGTATTTTTTCGACTAGGCACTTATGAAGTATATAATAGTTCTTTTGGCTGAGATTTGACACTGTTTCTTAGTTTAAATAGTAATTTATTTTGTAATAGATTGTTGAAAATGTGAGTATGATTAAATTCATAGCAAGATAAGCCTATTTTTCCCTTATATTCCTTATATTCATAGGCTATAAATCATAGGAATAATTTATGGATTTTCTATCTTGTTGAAATCCAGAAAGGGAAGTTCAATATGGATGGTACATAGGAAATATGCCTACAATTACTTTCATACATCTGTTGATAAATGCCTACCATGCTTTGCCTCCAAATCTTTGGGAGCATGTGGAAACACACACACACACACACACACACACTCACACACACACACATACACACATTTATATGTGCACACAAAGGTCAGACTTGTAATAGTGGGCTTCCTGGTGAAATAAAAATTGCCCTAATATCTATGGGCTGCATTAGAAAAATTCTTGTGGTAAGTTAATATTTCTGTGACATTTACATAGACATAATATATATATATATATATATATATATAGGGCATATGCTCGCCAGAAAGACAGAGAGAGGACAGAGACACAGAAAGCAAGAAATCACCAGCCAGGTGGGATGGCCACGCCGCAATCCCTTCTCCTCCATTCTCCTCTCAGGATCTTGGGCAGGCACGCACATACGCCCAGCATGACTTTAAGCCACTGGGTCCGAGACTCAAACCACAGTCGACTACATGAGAGTCCAGCAACATAGCCATTACACTAACTGCTGGTCCTCGAGTACATGTTTTAAATAATTGTTTAACATACCTATCTGTTTCTCTCTTTAATAGTTAAATGGCATAAATGATAGCATAATTTGTCACTAAATGAAAATGGCAACCATATACACATATATATACATATATATACATATTAACATATATGTACTATATAAATGTGTGTGTACATAGAACTATGGATATACATAATGTCATGTATCATCATCTATTATATCCACTGTCTCCTTCCCCCTTTCTAACTAAAATATCCCACATGTATGTATCAAACCATCATATTATACCCCATAAAGTAAACCGTTATGGCAGGTCAATCAAGAATAATATTAATAATAAATGTCTAGTCATGATTTGTTCCTTGTAAAGTCATGTAAGTATCCTCTAGCCTTTAGTTAGGATTTAAATACTGATAGTAACTCAATTACAAATTCTTTTGAGGAAAGAAAACAATTTATTTTCCAAGACTGTTCTCAAACTTAAAGCTCTTTCATTAGTACCTGTTTCTGTTATCTAGTAATTTCATTATATATTTGTACATGTGAATTTTGGAGACATTCTATTCCTCCTGGTTAACTCATTTGCATACTGGTTTGATATTTCTTAATTTCATCAGAATGTCAATGGCTCTAGCTAGCTAATCACTGGTAATGCATTCCTCTTCTAAACATTATCATGTCATACTCTGATTTGGCTTATTTTTTTGTTTTGTTTGAGAGGTTTTTCACTATAGGTCGCGTGCGCTCACCAGACAGACAGAGAGAGAGACAGAGAGACAGAAAGCGAGAAATCACCCCCCCAGAGGGGATGGCCACGCCGCAATCCCTTCTCCTCCATTCTCCTCTCGGGATCTTGGGCACACATGCACACGTGCCCGGCGTCGGTTTTAAGCCACCGGGTCGGGACGCAAACCACGTTTAACTACGTGGGAGTCCAGCAACATAGCCATTATGCTAACCGCTGGTTCCCTGATTTGGCTTATTGAAAGATACTTAACTGGAAAGTTTGAATAGGCAAGTATTCATTACTTATTCTTAATCCAGCAAAATTTTAACAGTATTTACTAAGAATTTTCCTCAAGCCAAAAATCTATATAATAATTTAGAAAATGTACAGTTTAAAGTGATTATGTCACTAAGCTATCTGGTTATCTCCTTAATAGTGAAATGGAAAAAAACCAGACAATGGTGACAGAATTCATCCTACTGGGATTTCCCCTCAGCCCCAGGATTCAGACACTTCTCTTCGGGCTCTTCTCCCTGCTCTATGCCTCCACCCTGCTGGGGAACGGGGTCATCCTGGAGCTCATCTTGCTGGACACCAGACTGCACACCCCCATGTACTTCTTCCTCTCACACTTGGCCTTCGTAGACATCGCCTACGCCTGCAACACAGTGCCCCAGATGCTGGTGAATCTCCTGAATCCAGCCAAGCCCATCTCCTACGCTGGCTGCATGACACAGACTTTTCTCTTTATGACTTTTGCACACACCGAGTGTCTGTTCCTGGTGGTGATGTCCTATGACCGATATGTGGCCATCTGCCTCCCACTCCGATATTCTGTCATCATGAGCTGGAGAGTGTGCACAGTCCTGGTGGTTGCTGCTTGGACAGGTGGCTGCCTGCTGGCCCTGTTCCACATGAATCTCCTCCTGAGACTGCCCTTTTGCGGGCCTCATGAAATCAACCACTTCTTCTGTGAAATTCTATCGGTCCTCAAGCTGGCCTGTGCTGACACTAGGCTCAACCAGACTCTCATCCTTGCAGGTGCTGTGTTTATCTTGGTGGTGCCCCTGTGCCTGGTGCTGGTCTCCTACTCACGCATCCTGGCTGCCATCCTGAGGATCCAGTCAGGGAAGGGTCGCAAGAAGGCCTTCTCCACCTGCTCCTCCCACCTCTGTGTGGTGGGGCTGTTCTTTGGCAGCGCCATTGTCATGTACATGGCCCCCAAGTCCCGCCATCCCGAGGAGCAGCAGAAGATCCTTTTTCTGTTTTATAGTTTTGTCAACCCTATATTGAACCCCCTAATCTACAGCCTGAGAAACACAGAGGTCAAGGGTGCTCTGAGGAGGTTGCTGTGCAAGGAAAGTTCTTCCCAGTTGGTATGACTTTTAAACTTCAATTCTAGCTTCAGTAAACTCCTATAATCTTGGCACTCAATTACTACCTAGATCCAGAAATTTGATCTCTTCTTCACCATGCCTTAATAGCACAAGAGCAAGCTTTCCCTCTTCCTTTGCAAGAGACATATTAGATGAGTTGCATGCATTGACTTTCTGTGGGATGTGGTTTTATCATATATGGGTTTTTTTCTTCTTTTTTTTTCTCATCAAATTGAGTTTATGTGACATTAAAATTTTTTCTAATTCATTTTCTGCATTCCAATATTTAGTACTGTCCTTGTGCCTCCTTAAGATAACTGAATGAACTCATGTCTGCATCTGTCATAAGACTGGAAAGGAAAAATAAAGCTGCAAAGAAAGTGATACCTAGCACGTACTTGTCTCTTCTCCCTCAATTGCATTCTCCTGTTACAGAAAAAGGCACAGCCATTTACTTTATTACATGCTATTTCCTGGTGAGAACCTTGTATCAAAATTATTGACTTGTATAAGGAAGTTAATTAGCAGACTGAGGGTCGGAACAAAATTAAAACAACATATATATAGGAGAAAAAATAAGCTAAAAAAATTACTGTACAATGTGGTGACAATGAATGTTGTTTACAAATTTGGAGTTAACTGATTAGTTGCTAGTTAGCTAAGAGGTAAAACCAAGTATTCCCTCCCTCTAATGAGCTAAAAATGAATGTAAAAAAAAAAAAAGAAAACTACTTGGGTTTTGAACTGTGCATTTGTCCACCTATCTCGATATGGTTTTCTAAAAGTCCAGACAGGGAAGACTTTTCTAGGATGAACACAGAAGAAAGCACATAAAATATCTTACTGTTTACAATAAGATTTGGTCTACATAGCTGGAAAATCTCTAGTTATATATAACAGCAGGTTACTTGACAGCTTCTGATCACTGGGTCATAAGTATTATTTTTCTTTAATACAGTCATTTATGGAAATTAGCTTGAATTCAGTTTCCTGTGTGTTTGCAAATCAAGCAAGGTTAAAGTTACTTATGAGGACAACTGGCTTTATCTGCTCAGAGGTTCTATTTTAATTTACTTTAGCATTACAAACCCAATGGTTAGGGAAGAGTCCTTCCACATTTTAAGTGGATTCCTAAAACATTACCTATAAATTTTACTTTCCAACTTTTCCTGAGATTAGGAGGAACATTTGCTTCCAGGGTTTTCTCAGTTTCACTGTGAGAGTGCAGGAAAGGTTTGTACCGAAGAATAAGTGCACACCCTTCACTTGGGGCTTAATACTCAACACTTAATTACTTCCTGTAGAGTTTTCAGAATATGAAAACAAAATGAGTTTTTACAATAATAGCTAACATTTTGATCAATCATTTACTCAGTGGCATATACTATGTATTGATAGCACTTTATATGAAACATCTCATTTAGTCCTAACAGATTCATGAAAATATGTCCTATTATCACTCTTTCATATATGCACATACCAGAAAGTAGCATACGTCAAACTTTCCTGAACTAGTCTGGCTTTGAGCCTCTGTACTTACCACAACATGTAGTAATCACTATTTATGCTATCAAATAGAAAGTCTAAGCTGTCTCAAGGAAGGATCTGAGAAGGGAACAAGGGCTTTAGCAAACTCTCACATGTACTACTGTGAGCTGGTATGTGCTCTGCCAGGCCTGAAGTCCAGAGATCATGCATGAGGCTGAGTGGGGCGGTGATTCCTTTGCACGGTACCACGAGAAAGTTCTGGGGGCAACCCATAGGACCATGTTCAGCAATTTGCTTTGAGAGTCAGGTCCCACCTGACTGATAGCACTTCACATCCCAGGGCTGGTACTTTGTAATACTTGTCAGGTATGGGTGCACGAGTGTCCAAGACCCCAGTGAGATGGAGAAAAGGAGAAAAACTAATTGTGGAGTCACCACACTACATTGGGGATTTCTCTCTAATAAAAGAAAAAGAGAGAAAGCAAAAAGATGGATGTTTTTCAATTGCAGAAGAATTCACTTTTTAACATTTTTTTATTATTATTCTAATTTATTTTATTCATTCAATCTAAGAATATTTCAGGGCTGGCTCCATAACACAGTGATTAAGCACCTTGCATAGGGTGTCAGATCCCACATGGCTGACTGTGGTTTGAATCCTAGCCCTAGGGGAAGCCTAAAATCCTGAGATGGAGAAATGGAGGAAAAAAGAATTGTGATATGGCCATGCCTCATGGTAGGTACATTCTCTTTCTTCTTTCTCTCTCTCTCTCTCTCTGTCTCTAATGAGAACATGCACCTACTGGTAATAAAAATAATAATAATTTCTGGTATTTTTAGCAGGGAATTATCACAATGTAGTTATAGCTATGATATTTGGAAGGTTTATAAAGCCAAAGTCTATCTTATTTATTCAGATGATTTTAGTGAGCTATTGTTTGTTACTAGCACATATTAAAAGTAAGTCTATGAAAAGTGGATTAAGTATTCAACAGCCTTGGACTTTTGGAAAGACACAGATATGTGAAAGATGATAATAAAGGATGTTTTCATTGTGATTGGTGATTTCATTCAGTTAAGACCCATGGGGAGCCCAGTGAAAGTGGAACTAGAATCTGTGGTTTTAGCAGCAACACTGGCACATTGCCTAGGACACAGCAACCATTCAGTAGGCACTGGTCACACAAATTCATGTGGCTTTAATATCAGTTCACATAACTGATCACTTAGACACGATTTTCAATGTTCACCTATATTCCTATTTCCACATTAAAAACTAGTTTTAATTGCAACTAAAATAGAAGAAAATAATTGTAGCTTAATATTAATTTAGCACTTCCTATTTACCAGAAAGTATCTTAAATTCTCTTTATGTAATCTTCACAGCAGCAATGTGAAGGACATACGTATAATAGCCTAATTTATAAATGAGAAAAGGAAGATTAGATAATTAATTCACTTAATATCACAAACATATTGAGTGGTGAAATTAGATTTCTAGTCCAGCCAATAGATCCATATTACCTGTGAAAAGGACCAGTTATTTTATAGGAGTCATTCAATAAATGTCGGCTAAAATAAATAAATGACTGATCATTTAGGCCATATACTCTAAAAATAAATAAGTACCTCTATGAAATACCTAAGTATGGTAGTCATTAACATCTTATTGAACATTATTTACTTTCCATTTCAGATATACTCTGTTCTTGCAAAAGTTTCATCTGGAGGGAATATAATACGAGTTATTATATTCCCCTAAGAGTTATTTACTAGGGGCCACCAAGGAAATGCAAGTGTATTAGAAGAAGGTATTTCATGTTTATATGAAAAAATAAGGAGACATATATTCTTTTCTATCATATAGAGCAGAGGTTATAAACCTTTTAAAAAGAAGGGGCCAGCAGATGGCATAGTGGTCATGTTGCTGGTCTCCCACATGGTAGACTGAAGTTCGAATCCCAGATAAAGTGACTTGAAAATCATGTCAGTTGTATGTACATGCATGCCCAAGAGCTAAGGAGGAGAATGGAGAAGAAGGGAGTGTGGTGTGGCTACCCCTCTTGGCTGTAGTATCTCACCGCGTCTCACAGTTTCTGTTTCTGTGTCTCTCAGGCGAGAACACACACTATGGCAAAACCCTGTAAGGAAAAAAAAAGGAATATGTCCATTGATTACATTCTTTGATCATGATATGCCAAGAAGGTGCTCATGCCTACAGAGCAGTGATGTACTTAGAATTCCTCTTATATTCTTTGCAAGAGAGTGGAGATTCTGGAAACTGTGACTACTGAAAATGAAAGGGATGGGACTCTGGGTGGGAGTAAGTTCATGCACCAGTGAAATTGGCCCCCACATATCTTTGGCATACAGAGGGCGCCACCATCCTCGGCTTGTAGGATAAGTGTTCACTTTTTGCTAAGGAGTGGAGGCCACTGCTTCTCAGATGTTCCTGTGCAAACAGGTCATTGCAGACCTTGCAAAAATACAGGTCTTCCTTCAATTCTACTTCAATCTTGTCATTGTTGGTGTTGAGATATGGTATAGATTTTTTTATGTTGATTTTGTACCCTGCCAATTCACTGTATTTATTTATCACTTGAGTTTTTTTATGTTTCTTTTGTGTTTTCTATGAATATAATCATGTCATCTGCAAATATAGATAATATCAACTCTTCTTTCCCCGTTTGAATGTCTTTTATTTTAGCCTCTTTTCTGATCACGTAGGCTAGGACTTTCAGTACTATATTAACAAGGAGGGAAGAAAGTGGGCACTCAACTTATTTTTAACAAAGGGCACCAGAAAAGCCATTATAAAAAGAAAAACCTCTTTAGCAAATGATGCTGAAAAAACTGGATATTCTTTCACAGAAAGATGAAACTGGACCCCTATCTCTCACTATTAACAAAAATCAACTCAAAATAGAACAAAAATCTAAACCTAAGACCTCAAGCTATGAAATTACTGGTGGAAAAGGCAGGGGAAATTTTTAGAGACACAGGAGTAGACATAGACTTCTTGATCAAGGTCCCCCAAAGCACAGGCAATATCCAAAAAATAAACACTTGGGATTACATCAGATTGAAAAACTGTGGCACAGAAAAATAGTAAATAGAGCGAATCGACAACCCTTGGAATAGAAGAATATGTTTGCAAATGATACCTCAGATAATGGACTGATAACCATACACATAGGGAACTCAAACAGCTAACCTGAAATATAATGATTAACCCAATTAAAAGATGGGAAAATGAGCTGAACAGACAACTCTAGGAAGACTACAAATGGTCAAAAAGCAAATGCCCAACATCTCTTATCCTAAGGGAAATGAAAATCAAAACCACAATGAAATACCACCTAACCCAGGTCAGAATGGCTAATATTAAAAAAACTAATAATAATAAATGATAAGTGTTGGGGAGGCTGAAGTGAAAAGGGAACTCACCTACACTCTTGGTAGGAATGTAACTTAGTACAGCTACTGTGGAAACAAATATGGAGGTTCCTCGAAGACCT